CACCTAACACTCTTTCCTGCCAGAACCCAGACTCATACAACCCTTTTGGATATCCTGAATGTGCATATAGTATACAGTATATATGTACATTATGCATACCAGAACCTGGGCTAATCCTGGGGTACCACTGTGAACAGGAGAGACTCGCCTTCTGGAGCTTACAGACCAGCTCAGCATTGTGCCCAGCACATAGTAGGCATCCCATGAATGTTAGCTGCTATTTTTTGTTATTATTACTTAGCGGGTTTTCTTCCCAAAGGTTGGGCTCCCACCCTGGGGCTCGCCTGCCCAGGAGCCTGCTGACTTAGCTCTTGGTGTGCTCTGCCCCTGCCCCGCCCCACCCCACCCAGGAGCTGGCCTGCAATGGCATCTTACAAGGCCCCAGTCAGCAGACATCTCCTGCCTAAATAAGGACAAGGCGCCCAGGAGAGCTTTCTGTGAGCCGGAGGAATGTGACAGCTGAGTCCTCCCAGCCCAGCAGCCTCCCCCGCCTCCGGCCCCTCCCCAGGTGGGGCTCAGCTGGGGCATTCCAGCTTTTCCCAGAGCAGCCCCCAGTGTCACTGACACCCACTGGCACCCCACCCCAGGCTGCTCTAAAAACTGATAAAGGAGCTCTGGGAAGGAATTCCAGGCAGCTCCATTTGCTCCTGGGGGCTGGCGACCCTGCTGTCACAGGGACGGGGGAGGAAGAAGCCACCAGGAGGGGCCGAACCCAGCCTTCCTCTGGACAACTGCATCTTTGTTCAAAACGCACTTCCAGAGATCAGATTTGGCCCCAGGCACCGTGCCGTGCCAAGTACTGGAGGTCCAGAGGAGATTCCAATCCCGTTGCCTTACCCCATCATAGCAGTCACAACTGGGCTAAGTTTTTGAATCCTGCCCTTTCAAAGACTGGATTTTGAACAAGCCCTTTCAAAGATTGGTTTTCCTTCTCTCTGAGACTGGGAAGAGGGAGAGGAGAAATCTGTCTTTTCAGGCCAGTGTCTCTAAAGGATGGGATGCTTTCTACTGGCAGGACCAAGAATGAGAAGAGGTACCAGACCGTTCATTAAGTAACATTGTAGAAAGTGTATCTGTAAAAAGAGAAAAAGTTAAAAAAAAAATTTTTTTTTTTTTTTTTTTTTTTGAGACGGAGTCTCGCTCTGTCACTCAGGCTGGAGTGCAGTGGCCTGATCTCAGCTCACTACAACTTCTGCCTCCCAGGTTCAAGCAATTTTCCTGCCTCAGCCTCCTGAGCAGCTGGGATTACAGCTGCCCGCCACCACACCCCGCCAATTTTTGTATTTTTAGTAGAGATGGGGTTTCACCATGTTGGCCAGGCTGGTCTCAAACTCCTGACCTCAAGTGATCCACCTGCCTTGGCCTCCCAAAGTGTAATCCCAAAGTGCTGGGATTACAGGCGTGAGCCACCGTGCCTGGACTTTAATGCCTCTCTTACACGCTGTTTTTTAACTGAGAGCACAGCAGCAAGCAGCCTTGAGTCTGAGTTTGTTTGTTTTATCAGACAGAGTCTGGCTCTCTTGCCCAGGCTGGAGTGCTGGAGTGCAATCATGGCTCCCTGAAGCCTCAACTTCCTGGGCTCAAGCTATCTTCTTGCCTCAGTCTCCCAAACAGCACCTGGGACTACAGATGAGCACCACCACACCCAGCTAACTTTTTTATTTTTTTGTAGAGATGGGGTCTCACTAGATTGCCCAGGCTAGTCTCAAAACTCCTGGCCTCAAGCAGTTCTCCTGCCTTGGCCCCCTCAAAGTGCTGGGATGATAGGCATGAGCCACTGCACCTGGCCGAGATTTTAATAAGCAACTGAGGGATTTAATGATATTTTGCTTCACTGTATTCTTTTTCTTCTTTTTCTTTTCTCTCTCTTTTTTTTTTTTTTTTGGCTAACGTTTTCTCATCTAACCCTAGATTTCTATTTATGGTAATGATCTACAGTTTATTTATAAGAGTAAATTTAGATTTTAAAAAGTTAAAATATTTTTTAAATAGTAAGGAGATCCAGACGGCATGCAGACACAGCGTGGCTCAGGAAGGTACGGCAGTGACTGGCATTTGGGAATCGCTGCCTTGCCCCAGCTGCCACACCACTGTGCCTTTGCCTTGCCTCGTCCTCCTGTCTGCTCTTCCATGCTGACCTCACTGGGCTGCCCTGGACTCCCTCTGAGCTAAAGTCATCTCCCAAAGGGCCCACAGTAACAACAGCTGCCCATGACCGGGATGTGGGAAAGGCCAAACAAGGAAGTGAAACTGGGCCGGCTTTTTTTGCCCCCAAGGACAAGGCAAGGAGAATGGAGACCCACAGAGGGGCAGGGACTTGCCCAGGGTCATTCAGCAAGTCAGTGGCAGAGGCCTTCCCACCCTAAAACAATGTGGACGGGAAGATAAAATGGGACAACCACCACAGACAGCCTTTGATCCGGCAACTGCGAGTTGGGGGAATTTATTCTAGAGATACACCAACCCATGGGTGAAATACTGATCCAACACAGCAAATATCTGGAAACTACCCAAACATCCATGTTCAACAACGGGGACCCGATTCAATAAATTATGGCACAGCTACATAATGGAATTCTACACAAGCATTTAAAAACTGATTAAGTTCTATATTTGGAAAAACATGAATAGATCTCTAACACACACACGGCAAAGAGAAAAAAGCAAGATTCCAAACAGTATGTATATCCTATAGTATAATATGCTACTTTTTGTGTAAAAAAAGGGAAGAACAGGAATCCATGTATTTGCTTATATTAGGTTGAATGGTATGAAATTGCCATTTTATAGGTCAAACCTGGTCAAATATTAGCAATTTCATATTTTCCATCTTAATAGAAAGTAACTCTGGAAGGAAAGGAAAGAAAGTACAAACAAGAGTTGCCTGTGGGTTGTGGAGGTGGCACCAAGATGGGGACAGGGAAAGGAGATGGACTCTTTACAGTAATACTTTTCTAACTGTTGGGTTTTGAAACAAATGAAGGTTTTTGTGTGTGTGTGTTTGTGTGTGTGTGTGTGTGTGTGTGTGTGTGTGTGTGTTTTAAATACGGAGTCTCGCTCTGTCGCCCAGGCTGGAGTGCAGTGGCGCGATCTCGGCTCACTGCAACCTCTGCCTCCCGGGTTCAAGCGATTCTCCTGCCTCCGCCTCCTTAGTAGCCGGGACTACAGGAGCCCACCACCATGCCCAGCTAATTTTCTGTATTTTTAGTAGAGACGGGGTTTCACCGTGTTAGGCAGGCTGGTTTCAATCTCCTGACCTCGTGATCTGCCTGTCTCGGCCACCCAAAGTGCTAGGATTACAGGCTTGAGCCACTGCGCCTGGCCGAGATTTTTTTTTAATAAAGGAAAACATCAGTAGGGCCTCTTAGGGCAGGCTTTCTGCAACACGACACCTGTCTCTATATCCATCCCAGCTGGGTGGTCAGGGAGGAACTGTGCAGGCCTGAGCCCAGGGGGCACCCCAGCTTAGCTTCTGACAAATCCCTTCTAGAGAACCTGCTCTGTGGCATTTCCCACCCTCCACGTGGTGGGTCAGAGCTCCAGGGGCCTCCACCCCTTGGGCCAGGCTTCTGGCAAAGCTACAGCAAGTCCTGTGGGATGATGGTTTTGGCACCAGGCTGCTATGACTTTGTAGGAGTACCCCCTTCCCAGACAGGGCCACATGAAGCCAGGGCTGATGGGAACACTGCTTCAGCAGCAATGCAATAGGTCCCCACAAGGATATGGCTTGGTCAAAGGTAGCTCTGAAAATGGATCCCCACCGCTGCCCCTCCCTCCTATCTGGTCCTATGGCACACGTCCTCTAGCAGCCTAAGGCGAGAGGTTCTCCCTGGGATGATCGCTAGGATTATGGAAACACCTGGGAGATCCCCACAGAGATCTCACCCTTCAATAACACCACGAAGAATCACTGAAGCAAGAGTATTCACAGTTAGAATAATTTTTTAAAACTGCCACTATTGAAGACTGGTGTGCAGTATTTGACACGGGTTATATCTCATTTTACCCTCAGTGGTAAGTACTATATCAATTTCTACCACCTCCCACACTTGGAGAAACTGAGGCTCAGGGAAGTGACATGCCCAAGGAACGAGTGTTATCTGACCCCAAAGCCTGTGCTCTTGACCATGAATGATGTTTGTGCCTCTGTTTCTCCATCTGCAAAATGGAGAAGGAGGAGATGTGAAAACAGAGGTGCAGTGAAGGGACTAGAGATGCGGTGACCAGGGAAGACTCGGGATATTAAGGTCACAGTCTTCAAACCTCTGCAAAGATGTTGACACAGACATTGCTAGCTGCTCACCAAATATCCACCCTCTCTCTCTTTCCCACTAACAGAAGCCTAATTTGTTCAGGGAAGCAACGCGTCTGGCTAAAAATATTCACCTTCCCATTCTCTACATCTGGGGAAGGTCTTCCCTTCTGCATGGAGAGAAGCTATTGCATTTGGACCTCTGCTGCCTGGAATGCAGAGTTGAAGCTAGGTGTGCAGTGGCTATCCCTGAGTATGAGGACAAAAGCCACCCTCTAAGGACAGAGGTGGGAAAGGCAGATGGAGCTGGGTCCCTGAGGGCGTCATGGAGCTGCCATTCAGCCTGGCACAGCTTCTCTGATCACATTATGTGAGAAAATAAGCCCAATGGGTGAGGCAGTAGAAGCAGCTTTTTTTTTTTTTTTAAGAGAAAGGGTCTTGCTCTGTTGCCCAAGCTGGAATGCAGTGGTGTGATCACAGCTCACTGAAGCCTTGAACAACTGGCCTCAAGGGATCCTCTGGTATAATCGGGACTACAGGTACATGCTACCAGACCTAGCTAATATTTTTATTTTTTTTAATTTTAATTTTTGTAGAGACAGGATCTCACTCTGTTGCCCAGGCTGGTCTGGAACTCCTGGCCTCAAGCAATCCTCCTGCCTCTGCCTCCCAAAAAGCTGGGATTACAGGCAGGAGCCACTGTGCCTAGCCACAGGCAGCTTCTATTACCTGCAGCTAAGCACGGTTCTAAGCGACACAGTCCTCAAGGACAGCACCAAGGCCTGTGGGTAGAAGCTACAGAGAAGCAGAAAGTCCTTCTGCTTTTAGCAAATCCAAAAGGCAAATCTATCAAAAGCTGGGCTGGACCAACTCAAGAGATGGCGAGCTCCCCACGCCTGGAGAGACAGACGCAGTGACTGAGTGACTGAATGACCACTTGGCAGGACGATGGGAAAGGCATTCTGACATTGGCTGGGGTTGGACCAAACGGCCTTGCATGCTTTAATCATACCCACTTTGGGAGGTGAGGAAAGGCCCCCAGGATGCGTGCCCAGTTATGTATGGGCAAGCGCGTATGCCCTACCATGACCTGCAAGGCCCCTGAAGGCACCACCCAATAGAACTTCCAGGGATGAGGAAAATGTTCTATATCTGTGCTGTCCCAGCTATCGAATACTTGATACGTGGCTACTGAGACTAGAAGGAAACTTCTCCTTTCTTTAACTTCAGTTAAACAGCCACAGGTTGCCAGTGGCTCCCAGATTGTACAACATTGCCATCCATCCCCGCCGCCTCCTCACACTCTCTCTGGCCTTTTCTCCCACTGCTGTCCTCCGCCTCACTCCACTTCAGCCCCACTGGGCTCCTCATTGTCCCTAGAGCACGCCAAGCACACGCCCACCTCAGAGCCTTCCCTGGCCCCTCCCTCTCCTGGGTGGCTGTCCCTGATGCAGCCCCCTGGCCAACTCTTTCAGCTCCGTGTCTCTGCTTCAATGTCAACGAGGCCTTCTTCAGCGAGGCCAGCCCTGACCATATATTTTGAAAGGCAACTTGCCTGACCACAGGCTCTGTCTTTATGTACGTCTGTTGTGTTGTCTGTCTCCCCAGCGGGAGGGCAAGCATCATGAAGGTGGGATCTTCAGGTTTTCTTCCCCAAGAGCCTAGAACATTACCTGGCATGGAGCAGGCTCTCAATAAGTACTTATTGGATGTATTTCAAGGCTGAAATGAGTAACACGGAGGGTGCCCCATGCTGTGGGTTCTTCCCATTACAGGGTGTTTAAGGCCTGATATTAGTCAGTCAACCAGGCTTCCTGGGCCACACACACCTGCTGGGTGCTACGCCAGGTGCTGGCACCTGGGACCGGGCTGCCAGGGGCACATAAAACAGGAAACCCAGACTAGAAGGGAGCTCAGAGCTCCTCCGAGGAAGAAACAGTCAAGCTGAGTGAAGCCAGATGAAGAGAGTAGGTGTTCGTGAGAGAGTAAAGGAAAAGCATTTTGGGAAAATGGAACAGCATGTGCAAAGGACTGCAGGCAGGAAAGAGAACGGCCCTTTGAAGGAAACATGGCTGAAGGCAAATGATGGGGGGAATAGGATGAGATGAGGCTGGTGGGCTAAGTGGAGCCAGATAGGAAGGGACTTGGGGCCCAAAGGAACAAATCTGGAATTTCTCCTAAAAGCAGTACCCCTGGTGCCTGCATCCCAGTTCCTACCCCTAGTTTCCCCTGTAGCTGCGGAGGCAAGCTCCATGTAAGGTCAGACTTACCCAGCACTGTCAGGATCCCATGCAAGCACAGCTGTCCACCTCCTGCCCAGAGCCTTCTCTGAGGCTGCAGGAGGCCCCTTCAACCTTTGCCACATGGGAAACTCCCAGTGAATGCAGCACTGGAGCCTGCGTCCATCCTTCAGACCAACAATGCTGCAGGTCCTGAGGCCCGAGCTGGATCCAGTCCCTGTGGTCTGCAGTGATGCCTCAATAACACACACCTGCACTGCCTGTCCTTCTTCCGTCTCTCACACTCCCTGCTCACGCCCTCTCAGCGCCTCCCTCCTGGCATCACCTCCCCAATAAACTATCTGCACCTGAATCCTTGTCTCAGGCTCTGCTTTTGCAGGAGCCCTAACCAAGGGCCCCACGAGAGTTTTGTACAGCAGCATGGCACGTGCAGGCTGACATTTTTTAAAGCTCATGCTGGTTATTGTGTGGAGAAGACTATGGGGACAGGAGGAGGCATGACAAGCAGTGAGGGACACTTGCAGAGGGGCAGTGAGAGGGGCTGGTAGCCGGCACTGGACTGGTGGCAGTGGAAAGAGACAAATAGGGGATGGACACAAATGGGGGTGCTTGGCTCCCCCAAAGAACCAGAGGCTTGAGAGGCAAGGAGGGGTGACATGGAGGCAAGGAGGGGTGACATGGAGGCCAGGCTTGGGTCATGCCTGGCTTTGGGAATCAGCCTCACCAAGTTCCATCCCTCCAGCCCCGCCTGGCTGTGAAGACCTGCTGCAAAGGGGTTATTTTTAGAGAGCTGGGTGTTTACTTGAAGGATTTAAAGACAGGCTTTATTTTTAACTCCACTCCCAATGGCAGGGACTCGCTGGTATGGACTTAGGAAGTCAAGTGGAAGTTGGACTGGGCTTTGGAAACCCAGAAGAGAGAAGCGGCATTTGGGGAAGGATGAAGCTTAAGGGAGACAGCTGGCCTCACCACGTTCTACTCATCTCGAGCTTCGGGTAAGAACGATGATAAAACTGCCCCGGATCTCTCCTTACCAGGCACCCACAGAATGCCACGGCCACACGAAACCCTCTACAAACATCACCTCGTATGGTCCTCACTATAACCCTGGGGGGACGGGGCTGTTACTGTCCCCATTCTACAGCCGAGGAAAGGGAGGCTCAGGGAAGACCGAGGACACTTGGTGGGCAAGTAACAGAGTGGGATCTGAGCCTCGATTCCCCAGCCTCCCCAGCCTGCACTCTCAGTCGCTCTGCCATTTGAAAGCATGGCCAGGCACCGAGGTCCAGACACGGAGTGTCAGCCTGGGAGCAGCTGAGAGACTTTCTCTTCCCACCGTGGTGAAGAAGGTGGTCTGGCTCAGAGAATCGGAAGCCCAGCTGTGTCAGTTCTTGTTACTTTGTACCGGTTTTCTTATCTGTGAAAAGGGCTAATGTAATAAATAGCACCTCCTTCATGAGGCTTAGATGAAATGAGGCATAGAAGGGAACTCAGTGTAGAGGCTGGCAGGCGAGAAGGGGGCACCGAGAGATGCCCTGTCCATGGCAGGCACTGCTCCCAGCACTGCACGTTTATCAACACCAACATGACCCACTCCTAGGCCCCACGGGGCAGGTTCTCTCATGATCCCCGCCTTAGAGATGAAGAAATGGAGGTACAGGGAGCTTAAGAGACAGCCACTTGCCCAAAGCCACGAGGCCAGTAAGAGTGCAGGACTACAGCCCAGACCCTGACCCTGGCCTGAACTCTCACTGACCCTGGGGCAGCCACTAGCATTCTCATTTTTACTATTAGATCAACACTCTCGGTCTGGGCCCTTCCAGCACTGACCCGAATCCCTGGGGCTCAGCTCAGGAGCCAGGAGCAGGGCCAAGCACTGGTCTCACTGTGGGAAAACTCTTGCATCTGTGGGAAAGGGATGTTTTTCTCCTGAAGGTGCAGGCTGCTGGCCTGTGTGTTCTCTGACTCTGCTACTTGGGCTAAAAAGTAAAGCTGGGCCAGGCGCAGTAGCTCACGCCTGCAATCCCAACACTTTGGGAGGCCGAGATGGGCGGATCACCTGAGGTCAGGAGTTCAAGACCAGCCTGGCCAACATAGTGAAACCCCGTCTCTACATAAAATACAAAAGTTAGCTGGGTGTGGTGGCGTGCCTGTAGTCCCAGCTGCTCGGGAGGCTGCAGCAGGAGAATCGCTTAAACGCAAGAGGAGGAGGCTGCAGTAAGTCAAGATTGTACCACTGCACTCTAGCCTGAGTGACAGAGTGAAACTCCATCTCAACAACAACAACAACAACAACAACAAAGCAGCGGGAAACATTCTGGAGCTAGGCCCTAAGCACCATTTATAGAGGTGGAGGACATGAAAACATTCCTTTCCACTTTGCAGAATTCTGTCTTCTTTCACTTGATTTATTCATTGTGACCCAGAAACCAACTGAGGCTTCACAAGAGCCTCCCCCACCCCGCCTTCCAGCCACACTCCTCTCTGCTCTGACTGGGACTCCCTGCACAACCCTAGCTGGGTCTCTGCCTCCTGGGAGGCCTCAGTTTCTTCATCTGTGAAATGAGCACATCGGGCCTCCTCTTCCCTAAGGCACCTTCCAGCTCTGACCAGCTTTTTCTGGGGACTGAAGGGAGCATGCTGGGTCTTTTCTCTAGTTCTCTACACTCCAAGCTTGGAAGGCCTGGTTCCCCCAAATGCATGATCACCGTTGTTCTAACATCTGCCTGCTGCCAGAGACCCAGGCAAGCTCCTCTCTCTCCCTAGACCACTCAGCCTTGGAGTCACAGCTGCCTCGTGTTATGTCTCGAGAATCCGGCTCTGACAACTCAGGAAATTCCATTCACTACTGCACCTCAGTTTCCAGGCACACAGGGATTTTGTCCATCTGGTCATTCACAAAGGAGGGATGTGGTGAAGGGCAGGAGTCCGGGCCGGGGGCCTTTCCAACACTTCAAGCCCATCCTCAGGGAATTCAGTCTCACTTAATGGAACCTCCTACCTATCCAGACATCTCAGGAGGCGAGCCAGAGACACTGAGAAAAAGGACAGACATAGCCTCTGTGGATATGGGCAGTTGTTTGGAGGAGTGTTGAAGGTGGCCACTGGGTTCACGGAACACCAGATTTGCTTTAAACAGTTTGGCAAAGATGCAAAAGACTGACAGCACATAGCGCCGGCGGCAAGGGTGTGAGGAAGACTGCACTCGTGTACACTGTTAGAGGGGTTATAAATTGAGTGCAACCCTTTTGGATGTTAACTTGGGTTCTCATAATAATTAAAATGCATATTCTTTTTGACCCCCAAATTCTCTTTTCAGGAATTTAACCCATAACCCATAAACTGCATCTCCCTTGCAATGATTATTCTTTAAATATTTGTTGAAGATATACTGGAGGGGTGGGGTGAGACACTGGATGGGGTTGGCTGGATTTCTGCTGAATTCATGCAGGGATACTATGGCCCCTGTCAGGAGGAACCAAATTGACCAAATTGACATTTTGACAGTAAATGTCAGGGGTCAGTCCCTTGCAAAGGCCCACATGAATCGCCATTATATTCCCAATGTATTCCAGTGCTGCTTGAATGTCCCTGTCGTGATACATCGCCTGGCTGGGCCATTCCTTTAACCAGCCCAGTGAGCAAGGATATTGGTCCAAGGCTGTCCACTGCAGCCTCACTTATGATCAAGAAAACAGGAAATGGTTTCAATCTCCATCAAAAGAGATCTGGTTAAATGAATCATGGTACCTCCACACTACGGACGAGCATACAGCTGCTAAAGCGAGTAAGATAAATCTATGTGCATAACGTAAAAAGATCTCAAAACATATTACATCAAAAACGCAAGTTACAGAACATGATGTAGGTAGTCCTAGTTATGAAACACAAAAACAAACAAAACCAGAATAGGTAACTGGAAGAATTCTATAAGCAAATTGTAAACAACGGTCACTTCAGAGGTGCAACCAGGGTGTATGTGTATGACCTTCCTTGGATTTTAACGACAGATATGTTGTTTAGAACAATGTAAGAAAAGAAAAAAGGAAAGAGAAAGAACTCACTGTATCTGAAGTGGCAGCATAGGCTGGTGGCTTGGAACATAGACTTGGGTCCAGAATCTCAGCTCTGTCGCTTACTGGCTGTGTGACTTAAGGCATGTTAAAAACAAAACAAGGGCTGAGCATGGTGGCTCATGTCTGTCATCCCAGCACTTAGGGAGGCTGAGGTGGGTGGATCATTTGAGGTCAGGAGTTTAAGACCAGCCTGGCCAACATGGTGAAACCCTGTTTCTACTAAAAATACAAAAATTAGCCGGCAGTAGTGATGCGCACCTGTATTCCCAGCTACTCGGGAGGCTGAGGCAGGAGAATTGCTTGAACCTGGGAGGCAGAGGTTGTGGTGAGCCAAGATCACACCACTGCACTCCAGCCTTGGTGACAGAGTGAGACCTTCTCTCAAACAACAGCAACAACAAAAGCAAACAAACAAAAAAACCTCTCTATATGCCTAAGTTAGAATTAGATGAGTTAATTTAGCTGAGCACTTAGTGGCCACCACATATTAAGTCCTCAGTGAATATCATCCAATAGTGTTGGCCATTATTATCCCAGATCTCCTGGGATTCCTCAAGACAGCTGAGGCTGAGGCGTGACTGGAAATGGATTCTGAGGCTGGGTCAGCCCCCAGGTCTCCTGACTCCCGTTCCAGTGCTCCTTCTGCTCTAAGTGCCTGCCTGTGTTTCTGACACAATGGCCTTCCCCGAACGAAGAGGAAAGGGAGTGCGGTGAGGGAACAAGGAAAGGAAACAAAGAGTTCCTCGTTTCTTTCCCACCTGCTGACAACGTCCTGGATGCCGGAAGGGGGACTGTGTTGGGCGAAGGCGATCTGAGCTGCCACGTGGCCTTGGCTTCGTTACCACCCTTCTCTGTGTGTGGGCTCTGGGTATTTCCCCTCCCTTCTCCCCCATAATCTAAGGTGGACCTCTCTCAACACCTGCAAGCCCCCTGATTCAACACCGGGCAGACTGCCACCTCAACACTCTCCTTCCTCCAATTAAAAAATCAACATTCTCCCTCCTCCTATTAAAAAAAAAAAAAACGGCCGGGCGCGGTGGCTCAAGCCTGTAATCCCAGCACTTTGGGAGGCCGAGACGGGCGGATCACGAGGTCAGGAGATCACGGTGGAACCCCGTCTCTACTGAAAAATACAAAAAAAACTAGCCGGGCGAGGTGGCGGGCGCCTGTAGTCCCAGCTACTCGGGAGGCTGAGGCAGGAGAATGACGTAAACCCGGGAGGCAGAGCTTGCAGTGAGCTGAGATCCGGCCACTGCACTCCAGCCTGGGTGACAGAGCAAGACTCCGTCTCAAAAAAAAAAAAAAACAAGAAGGACAATTTGACTAATCGTGCCCCAGGATTCTAGAAGCCCAAGCCCAGCCACCTAATGGTGCCACCAGGCCCTCTCTTCCCACCCCAGTGGTTCTGCCACATTTCAGGTCTCCACCATCTCCCCAGATCCCTGCAGCAGCCTCCTCATTGATGCCCAGCCTACAGCCTAGCCCTTGCCATACTCTCGCTACAAGAGCCATGGTCATACACATTTGAGCAGACCACTCCCAGCTCTCGTGGCTACCCACTCACAAAGCAGGGCAGGGTAGCATATAGCACACATATATGATTTGTCCACCTGCATATTTGTCGTGTGTGTATGTGTGCATGTGCATGTACGTAGCCACACGTTGGTGAGTTTTCCTGCATGGATTTGAGAGCTCTGGGGTTTAGTGACAGATGTGCTAGGCCTCTCTCCCCGTTTCCCTGCTGCTCCATCCCACTGCCTGTGACCCTGCCCTCTCCTTCACCACCTCCTTCTCCCCTCTTCCCCGCAACCCCTGCTCCTAAATCAAGTCCTCCAATTTGTTATGCAAAGTACTTAAGAACTGGAAGATTTCGTGCAGGGCACGGTGGTTCACGCCTGTAATCCCAGCACTTTGGGAGGCTGAAGCAGTGGATCACTAGAGGTCAGGAGTTTGAGACCAGCCTGTCCAACATGGCGAAACCCCATCTCTACTAAAAATACAAAAACTAGCTAGGAGTGGTGGCGCATGCCTTTAATTCCAGCTACTGGGGAGGCTGAGGCATGAGAATTGCTTGAACCTGGGAGGCGGAGGTTGCAGTGAGCCGAGATCATGCCACTGCACTCCAGCCTGGGCAACAGAGCAAGACTCTGTCTCAAAAAAAAAAAAAATGGAAGATTTCATATTAACCAGACATTACATGCCCCCTGATGTGATACAAGATGAAGTACACAGAACTATTTATTAAGTTTTCATGCCAGAAAAATCTAATCTGAATCCATTTGAGACAGAACTTACAGGAAGTACAGGAAAGAGAGAAGCAAGTTAAACAGCACCATAAGGAATCAGCCCAACAGATACAGAAGATGTCATGTCATAAAAAAAATGAGAAGGATGGTTCTAGACTAAGAGATTTAGGACACAGCTCCCAATCTGAAAATAAAATTTAAAAACAATTCTACTTAAAGTAGCAGCAAGAAGAAAGAAATCTAGCAAAATAAGTATAAAATTGTACACTGAAAGCTACAAAGCATCACTGGAAAAAGTTAAAGACTTAAATAAATTGAAAAGTGCTCCATGTTCATGGATTGGCAGACTTAAAACTGTTAAAAGGATAATATTCCCCCAGTTGACCTACAGGTTTAACAAAATCCCAGCGGCCTTTTCTTCCCCTGCAGAAATTGACAAGTTGATGCTAAAATCCATATGGAAATGAAAGGAACTCAGAATATCCAAGATAATCTTAAAAAAGAAGAACAAAGTTAGAGGACTCACATTTCCCAACTTCGAAACTTAGTACAAAGCCACAGTAATCAAGACCAGCCTCTGGCATAAGGATGGATGTATACAGATCATTGGAAAAGAATTGAGAGTCTAGTCAATGAATAACAACAAAAAGACAAATACAGGCCAGGGGTGGTGGCTCGTGCCTGTAATCCCAGCAATTTGGGAGGCCTAGATGGGTGGATCACTTGAGGCCAAGAGTTCAAGACCAGCCTGGGCAACAGAGCGAGACCTCATCTTTACAAATAAAATTTTTTTAAAAATTAGCCAGTTGTAGTGGCATGCACCTGTAGTCCCACTTGGGAGGCTGAGGTGGGAGGATCACTTGAGCCTGGGTGGTGGAGGCTGCAGTGAGCTGACATGACAACATTGCACTCCAGCCTGGGCAACAAAGTGAGACCCTATCTCTAAAACAAAACAAAACAAAAAGATAAAGTAAATATGGAAAAATTACTAACAATTATTAAATCCAGTTAATGGGTACATGCATGTTCACTGTATCTCTCTATTTATATATATGCTTCATATTTTCCCATAATAAAAAGTCAAAAATGGAAATTTTTATAACAAAATGCAAACATCTAGTTTGTCTTGGAAAATCAAGAGTTGGCTGGGCACAGTGGCTCATGCCTGTAATCCCAGCACTGTGGGAGACTGAGGAATGTGGATCACCTGAGGTCAGGGGTTCGAGACCAGCCTGGCCAAAATGGAGAAACCCCTCCTCTACTAAAAATACAAAAATTAGTGGGGCGTGGTGGCACATGCCTGTAATGCCAGCTACTCGGGAAGCTGAGGCAGGAGAATCGCTTGAAACCTGGAGGCAGAGGTTGCAGTGAGCCAAGATCACGCCATTGCATTCCAGCCTGGGTGACACAGCAAGACTCTGTCTCAAAAAAAAAAAAAAAAAAAACAAAGAGAAAGAAAAATCAAGAGTTGTGCTAAGATTGAATTCATGTTTCTCCAGGGCAGCCATTAGCTAGGAAGAGGCAGCTCTACCCAAGGAGGCTTGCAGAGACCAAGGAGACCTGGCTCCCATGGTCCCACCACCCTTTAGTCAGTAAGACACAAGCCTGCGGCCTGCCTGGCCCCTGGAACCTTTTAGCTTGTAACGTCAGACCCTCACTCCACCAGGCATTCAAAGCTCGTCCTAACCTGGCCCTAGGCTGCCTTCTCAGCCTCATCTCTAATCTTTCCCCACCCACTCCAGCATTCTGGATGACTCATTGCTCCCAAAATACACCATGCACATTCCTACCTTCATGTCTTTGCACATGCTAGTTCCTCTACCTGGAACGACCTTTCTCTCTCTCTTTTCCACCTGGCAGACTCGCAACCAGAGGTGGCCCCTGCAGGGGGCTTTTCCAGACCTCCTTGGGACTGCTAGTTGCTCTTTCCGTTGGACCCCATCAATTTCAGTTCCTTCCTCCCTCTCCTCCACCACCGACTGTCCAATCCCCGCGTGGCTTTGCCCTCAACATGGGAGTCCCCAGACGACGCTGCCCACACTGATTCACCACTGGGTGCCCAGCGCCCTGGCACAAGCTGGCACAGGGTAAGTGCTTATTAAAGTTTGTGAAGGAAAACCAACTGAAGGTCAGATCGTGGTTAAGAGCATTCTAGAACCAGGTCACCTGGCTTCAACTCCCAGCTCTGCCATGACTCAGCTGTGCAACCTGTTTGAGAAACAACCTGTCTGTGCCTCAGTTTTTTCATCTGTAAAATGAGAATAACAGTACCTTCCTCACAGCATTGTTTTAAGGATTAAATAAATTAATATATCCCCACTGGGCACGGTAGCCCACATCTGTAATCCCAGCTCTTAGGGAGGCTAAGGCGGGAAGATAGCTTGAGCCCAAGAGTTTGAGACCTGCCTGGGCAATATAGCAAGACCTTGTCTCCACAAAAAAAGGGGGAATAAAAAGTTAACACATGTAAGGTACTTAAAATCATGCCCGGCTCCCAGAAATAAGGACTAGATGAATGCACATTAAATAAAAATTAAATAAGCAGACTCAAAGATGGGCAATTACCAAGACCCTCCCTGAGGCCTAGTCCAGTGTCAGGCCCTCTTCCCTCCAGTGACCTGTGTCCCCCATGGCGTGGAAATGAGTGTTGGCGGTGCAGAGTCACAGCCTGAAGTGACACCAGATCCATTCTGCTCATTAGTTAAGGAAAAGGCCTCTGTAGGTGCCTATGGCTCTTTCATACCGGTCAATCTCTTGCCAATTTCTCTTTTAAACAAAAAGAAAACAAACTTTAGGCTAAGTGCCTTTGGACATCAATAGCTTGACGTGGAACTTGAATAGCATTGTTCTGTTTTCAGAACTTCCTGTGATATTGATTTCACATTTTCAACAGTGATTAGAAAGTCTTCCTTTTCAATATATGTACTTACGTATTTTTTAAATAAGTTGATTCGAAGATGAAGATTAAGACAGTAAGTAGAGATGGTGTGTGGATGTAACAAAAACTGGGACTGGGCAGAAGATGAACATTTGGGAAGCACCATTGTAGGGACCGAGAGAGAAGACAGGGCCTTCCCTTGGGGCAATTTCATTCTTCGGTCAGTGCAGATGATACAGGATTGATAATAACAGCTTACACTTCCTTGCATGCTTTCCAAGCACCGGCCCTTTACATGAGCTATTTCTTTTACTCTCTGCAGCACTACTTTCAGGGAGGAGGTAATATAATTCCCATTTGATTAAAGAGGAAAGTGAGCCCAGAGGGATGAGGTACCTTGCCTAAGGTCACACAATTTATAAGAGGCTGAAGCCAGATTCAAACCTAGGTCCATCCAATGCCACTGCCCATGGACCACATGGGTTCCTGCTCACCAGAGAAATTCAGCTCCCAGCAACTCAAAAAACCAACTCTCAGCTCTGATCAGCTTCGGAGTTTCCAGAGCCAGCATGGGGAGAAGATGGAGGTCAGGGGCTGAGGGGATAGAAGACAGACAGATGCCACCCTGGTACAAAACCTGAGATGCTCCAAACCTCACACCCTAGGACAGCTGAGAACTCCGGGCCATGCCCTGCCTCTGCCACGGGGGTACAACAGCAAGACCAGGCAACAGCAATGGCAGCTGATGCTTACAGACTGCTTCCTACTTGTCAGCCCTGTGACGTGTGTATATAACCTTCGTTTAGAGGCTCTGCTTTAACCTTGTGAAAACTCTTCGAGGTGGGTCTTTTAGAAATTAGAAATTTTAGAAATTAGAAATTTGAGGTCTAAGGGGCTGAGTCTAAGCCTTACTCTTCACACTCCCTGTGCTCCTTCCAGAAAACAGGCATTTATCAGGGTGTTGGCATGACAACCTGAAAACTTTAGGCGCCTCCCCAAACATACCAGCTTCCCTCCACAATCCAGTATCTATGACCTTAAAAGGTATCACAAAAGAGTTCTTAGCTACAAAATCAGAAGACATAAATCTAGTTCCCTCTCGATCGCTTTGTGGCTATGAGTATATCTAGATCCCTTTCTGCACCTCAGTCTCCCCAACTGCTCAGTGACAGGCTTGCGACTACTCTGAGGGCCCTGAATGGGTCTACAGCAACACTGTTCAATAAAAATATAACACGCATCACATATATAATTTTAAATGTTCTAGTGGTCACATTCAAAAAAGTAAAAAGAAACAGTGCAATTAATTTTAATAATGTATTTTGTCAAACCCGATGTATCTAAAATGTAACCATTTCAATATGTAATCAATATTTTAAAAATCATTAACAGGTTACTTTACATTCTTTTCACACCAAGTATTTGAAATCCAGGATGTTTCACATTTACAGCGCATCTCCACTTGGACCAGCCACATTCCAAGTGCCCAGTAGCCATGTGTGGCGAGTGGCTACCATACTGGACAGCCCAGGTCAAGAATCTTTCTCAATCCATAGCTCATTTTACAGGGAACAGCTGTCTCATCTTTCTCCCTTCTCTTAGGAAAAATGGTCTGATTGTAGCCTCTGGGCTGACGAGTTCCACATCAGCCCGGAGGGAGGAGCTGGAAGCCACAATGGAGAGAAAGCCGGGGCCTGCCTGGGTGTGAAGAGTCTGTGGCTGCTGGGGACGCTTTCTGTCTCTCCATAGCCAGATTACTCACTAAGCCCCAGGGATGGGGAGAGTCCCTGAGGAAGATGGCCACAATCCTGCTTTTCCGCCTGACCCCAAAATTCCCTTAATTGGAAATTCGGTCTGAGCTTGAAACCCATCCAGGCAGCCACCCCCACCACCCATGGCAACATCTCCATGGGCACGCAGGACTCCTGCCTCAGACACCCAAGGAATCCAATCCCACAGCAGCACTGCATGCAAGAGGCTGGATCCCAACTTCTCAGTCCCCAGCTCACTTCCCGGCTGTGGGCCTGGCAGCCTTCTCAGCGGGAGCTGGAAACCTCCACAAGCAGGGGCACAGGCATTGGCAGGAAGGACCAGGAGGGCAAGGAAAATAAGGGGGCATCCCTCCTTCTCCCCAAACCTCCACTTCCTCACCTTTGAAATCAAATGTTGTTAGATCGTAGCAATGATTGTCTTTACTGCTGGCTGCCCTGTGCCAAGCATTTTACAGGCATTAGCTCACCTACTCCTTCTAACCACCCTGAGGAAAGAGGATCCCAGGGTCAGAGTGGTAAAGCAGCTTGGGCAAGGTCACACAGCTCTTCAGAAGAGCTGGAGTTCCAATTCGTGGCCTTCTGAATCAAGAACCTAAGCTCCTTCCTGCTGTGCTCTGCCTAAGTGGCCCAGGGTGGCCCAGGACAGTCTGGGCTTACACTTGTCATAACCAGATACATTTAGTGTAATTATTTAAAATGTTCCCTTTGGAAGAAGGAGCAAATCTTCCATACAGAAGAATTTTAAATATCATAGGTAGATATTTCCCCCTCCAAAAGGTTTAGCTGAATTCCAGACCCTTCTCCCTCTTGAGTGTGGGCTACACTGAGTGTCTGAATTCCAAAGGATGGAGCAGGAAAAGAGGAAATAGTAACTGTACATCAGAGAAATCTGGCTGACCCACCTTAGCCAAGTGATCAAAGTTAACATCTTCAGTTTATGAGAAACATATCAGACAAACCCAAATTGAGGGACACTCTACAAACTATCTCACCAGTACTCCTCAAAACTGTTGGGCTGGGCGTGCTGGCTCACACCTGTAATACGAGCACTTTGGAAGGCCAAAGCGGGAGGATCACTGGAGGCCAGGAGTTCGAGAACAGCCTGGCCAACATGGCAAGACCCCGTCTCTATTAAAAATACAAAAATTAACCAGGTGTGGTGGTGCACACCTGTGGTCCCAGCTACTTTGGTGACTGAGGCACAAGAATCACTTGAACCCAGGAGACAGAGGTTTCAGTGAGCCAAGATGACGCCACTGCACTACAGCCTGGGCAACACAGCGAGATCCTGCCTCAAAAAAAAAAAAGAAAACAACAACAACAACAACAGCCAAGGACACACAAAAAAAGCAAAGAATGAGAAACTATCACAGACCAAAGGGGACCAAGGAGACCTGACAACTAAATGCAGTGTATGATCCTTCATGAAATCCTGAAGCAGGAAGAAGACATTCATGGAAAAACTAGTGAAACGCAAACAAAGTCTGGAGTTCAGTGAAGAGTAACGTGCCATGTTGGTTTTGACAAATGTATTATGATAACGTAAGAAGTTAACAGTAGGGGAAAATGGGTAGAGTGTATGGGAACTCTTTGTATTCTTTTTGGAACTTTTCTGTAAATCTAAAATTATTCCCACCTGAAAGTTTTATTTTTAAAAAGCGCTCCCTTTTACTCATAGAAGTGTTCAGGTTTAGACAATAAATTATATGAACACCTGGTCATAAGCCTGGTCCTGCCCGTCTTAGACCATTCGTGCCACTTTAACAGGATGCCTGGGACTGGGTCATTTGTAGGGGAATTCTAAGGTCAAGGCACCAATGGGTTCAGTGTCTGGTGAGGCCCTTATCTTCCTCCAAGATGGCACCTTGCACACTACATTCTCCAGAGGGGAGGAAGGCTGGATCCTCACACAGCAGAAGGTGGGAGTGCCAAGAGACAAAAAGGGGTCAAACTCACCCTTTTATAAGGGATTTAATTCCACTCATGAGGATGAATTACCTCTCAAAGATTAGTCTCAGAACTAATCACCTCTCAAAAGTCCCACATCTGAATGTTACAATGACAATTAAATTTCAACATGAGTTTTGGAGGGGATAAACATTCAAACTATAGTCCTCTAACCAAGAAGTTTTCAGAAAATCACCCATACCTTCTGTCCCTTTTAGTGATGCCAACTGCTCACACCTTTATAGCAGTGTGAAGGTTACAAAGTTTAGCATTAGCAAGACGTGCTAGTTAAAGTTTTTGAATCAGAAAGCTAGAGGCTGACATCTGGGTTCTCCTACTTGCTTGCCAGGTAGTCTTGGGCATGTTACATTCGTTCCCTGGGCCTCAGTTTCCACATCTGTAAAATGAATTCATTGTATGATGACAATGACGAGTCGTATTTATGAAGCCATGTCTGGTGTCCAGCACTGTGGTGGTGACTGTGATGGGCTGCCCAGACTCCCCTTCAGGGCTGACGGACTTATTTTTCCCACTCCCAGCTACTCAGAGAGTTGCCAGCTGTCAGCCCTCTCCAGGGATTGCCCTTGGCTGAAGAGAGCTGTCCAGCCCCAGTCCAGCCTCCTTCTGGAGGGTAGCCTGCATACAAATGCAGAGAGTATAAAAGATCCAGCTCCCTCATCCCAACTTGGGATGACTGTGAAGGTCATCTCCACTGCAGAGCATCCCTTACGGTTGGCTGAGGCTTTCCTGAGACTGCATTGCAACCCAGTGTCTCCCACCACCCAGTCCGGCCTTCTTCCCCTCCCCACAGTGTTGATCCTGAGAGGGCTCCCTCTACATTTCCTGCATGTTAATCTTCATCTCAAAGTCTGCTTCCCGGGGAACTCACCCCACAAGAGGATTGTGAGCCACCTGACCTGTACTGTCTTTCCTAACCCTTAGACCAACTTGTCTTTATAGATGAGATCATTGAGATTAGAGAAGAAAATGGATCTGGCCAAGGACATACAACTAAGAAATGGTGGTGCCACAGATGGAGAAACTGACACTCAGACAGGCCACTGATCTGCCCAGGTCAATGAGCCAAAAAATGGCAGGGCCAGGATTTGGCCATAGGCCTGCTTAACTCTGAAGACCATGTGCCCAGTCTCTGGCCCAGGCCATTTACATCCCCAGGAGGACTGCTACAGTCCCACGACAGGTGAGTGCCTTTTACCACCCTCCTGCCAGACCACACTGCTGCTGTCCCTGCAGCTCGCTCCAGATTTGTAAAATGAGAATAAGAATAGTATCTACCTCTCCAGGACCTTGTAAGATTAAATGAGTTAATATAGGTAAAGACCTCAGAAGAGTGACTGGCACATACAGAATCCTATTTAAGCGGTGGGTTAAAAACAAATCATGTAAGTCATGTAAAGCTGCATCTGTGATGCACTCTAAGGACAGAATGGCGGCTGGCGATGGACCTCATCAGCTCTCTAAGGGAGTCGGGCTTGACCTGAGCTCTGAAGGAGGAGTAGAGGTTAAGTGGGTGGCAAAGGAACCAGTATGAACAAAATCTCTGTGACAAGAGGAACTAAAGAAGGAAGAACTAGCATAGACGGGAGAAATATCCAGGCTCAGGGAAAGAATGATAAGAAATAAGGCTGGGTAGGAGGGTGGGAACCTGATTATAAAAGGCCACTCACTAACTGGGTGATTTTGGACAAGTCACCTTATCTCTCTGAGCTTCACTTAGCTCATCTGCAAAACAGAAATAAACATAGTACCTATCATAAGGTTGTTAAAGGGACTGAGTGAGTCAGTATTTGTGAACCACTTAAAATTGTCTTGTACCTAGTAGGTGCCATAAATGTTTGGAGACAACATTAGAACTTTATCTGAAGTACAATGAGAAGACTTAAAGGGGTTTGAATGTAGATGATAGGGTGGGTGTTTAGTAGATGGGAGGGTGGATGGATGCATGGGCAGATGGATAGGTGGGGGGAGGTGAATGAATAGAAGTTTGGTTGAGTGATAGAGGTGGCTGGCTGGATGGTTGGATGACCGGGTGGATGGGCAGGAGTGGAGGTTGTTCTAATGGACAAAAGTGTCGCTGGCTGGATAAATGGAAGTACTTGAGTGAATGGATGAGTGGCTGGATGTTAAGATGGGTGGCCAGGGAGCTGGAAGCAGCTGAGTGAATGCAGGTGATTGGTGGGTGAGGAGACAGGTGTGTGGATTGAAAGGGTATCTATATGTTTGAATGGGCATCTGGGTAGTTGGATGGGTGGCTGAGTTAATGGATGGATGGTGATTAGCTGGTTGAGTAGGTAAAAGGATGAAAAATTGAGTAGGTTGGATGGAACAGATGAGTAAATTTTTGAGTGAGTGGGTGGTTGTTTAGGTAGACGTTAGGCTGTTGTCCAGGTGGATGTTCAAGTGTGACAGGGGACTGGAGGTGATTGTATGGGTGGAGGGGTTGTTCAGTGAGTGTTAGAGAAGTTAGTCAATGAAGGAATTGGGTGGATGTCTAGGTGGTTGACTGCGAGGTTGTATGGATAGATGGATGACTGGATGACTGGCTGGGTAAACAGGAAGTAGAATGGGTAGGGGAATGGAGTGGATAACTGGAGAGATGGTTGTTCGGGTGGATATTAGAAAGGTTGGGTGAGTGGTAGGGTTAAGTCAGCGGAGGGGCTGGGTGTAGTTGAGTGATGGATGGATGGATGGATGGATGGATGGATGGATGGATGGATGGGTGAGTGAACAGGAGCCATCAGCTCCCGAAGCGCCTCCAATTAACTCCCTGAAGGTGATGGGGGTAAAAGAAGCAGAATTAGGCTTGGAGACAGGGCCTCCTAGGTTGCCCTGCCCCAAGACCCCCTTCCCCGACGGGAGGCGACCCCTCCCCACCCCCACCGCTGTCCTACCTGGAGGCAGCAATCTCGGCCTTCTGGCGCGCGATGGCAGCGGCGCGCTGGGCGCCCTCCACACTGTGCTCCACTTTCTGGCGGACCTTGTTGCTCTTGAGCTGCAGCATGCGGCGCTTGGTGCCCTTGACCAGCACGTTGTGGCGGTACTTGCCCTCCTCGCGGTGGCCGTCGGGCAGCGTGGTGCAGCCATAGCCATGGCGCAGGTTGTCTAGCCACTCGCCCTCGTAGCGGAGGCCGCTGGAGCGTTCGCTCACGCCAAAGCCCGAGCGCTTGTCGTTCTTCCACTCGCCCATGTAGGTTTCGGTGGTGGTGGCGTCGATGTCGGCCTCGAAGGGTGTGGCCTCGTCGGCGCCCTCGGCGGCCTCTCCCAGGCTGGCGGTAGACGCGGCGTCGCTGGCGCCCGAGCTGAGGTCGCTCTTAAGGAAGCTGACACGGCTGCGCTGGCTGCCCAGGGACGTGCGCGACTCTGCGCGCCGCAGCTTGCCCAGCAGCGCGCCCCGCTGGAAGAGGCCGCTGCCCTTGGGCGCCCGCGCAGCCGCCTCGGGATTGGCCAGGAGGCTGAGCGCGAAGCCGCCGCGCGGGATGGCGGGCGAGGGCAGCGCGGGGCCGTCGGAGGCCGGCGAGGCTGGCGAGTCCGGGGCCACCGTGCCGTTGCTGTGCTCGCTGCGCAGGGACGACAGCGACGTGCGCAGCGGCGAGCGCACCACCACGGCCATCCCGTAGGGCACGCTCTGGCGCACTCCGTAGCCGTGGCGCATGCCGTTGGTGAACTGGCCTTGGTACGTCCCTGCGGGCGAGGAGAGGGCGCGTCAGTAGGCAGAACGACGGATCCCCGCATGTGCACGGTGGCCTGGGAGGGCAAGGGCAGGAGTGGGCAAGGCGGGGTGGGACCGAGAAAGAGGCGCACGGCCGTCTGAGGGTCAGAGTGCACAGTGCTATGAGTGTTTGAGTCTGCTAGAGTGTGCAATAACACGAGTGGGTGAGCCAGGAGAAGCTTGCACGATGGTGGGAATATTTATGTTGGTGGGAACACGGCAGGGTCACAAGTCGTGAACGGATAAGCCAGTGAGTTGACATAGTAGTGTGAATGTTGGAGAGCATGGGTTTGTGTGTGTATTTGTGCAAGATCGTGTGTACAAGACACTTGTGGGTATGCATATCGGTGTCTTGTGATTATATAAGATCATGAGGCGGGGGAAGGTGGCTCATGCCTGTAATCTCAGCACTTTGGGAGACAGAGGCGGGTGGATTGCTTGAGCTCAGGAGTTCAAGACCAACCTGGGCAACATGGTGAAACCTCTCTCTACAAAAACATTAGCCAGGTGTGGTGGCATGCACCTGTGGTCCCAGTTACTAGAGAGGCTGAGGTGGGAGGATCACCTGAGCCCTGGAGGTTGAGGCTGCAGTGAGCCATGATTGTGCCACTGCACTCCAACCTGGGCTACAGACCGAGACCTTGTCTCACATACACACACACACACACACACACACACACACACAAATCATGTGTTGCAGGGCAGTGTGTGCACAGTGGGGTGAGTGCCTGAGATCTCATGGAGGTGACATTATGGATGTGTATGAGGTTCTGAGTGTGCAAGGCTATCAGAATGCCAAAGAACAAAGTAATACGTAGCACTCCAGGTTGAGTGTGTGAGGTGATGGGCATCAGTGAAACTGAGACACTGAGACCATATGAGACCATCTGGAGGAAGGCTAGTGGTGTATACAAGGTGTCGGCAACTTAGGCCCTGCATGTACACAAGTCCGTGAGCTCCTGGAATTGAGATGCTTTATGTAAGTAGCCATGCGAGTCTTACGTGTGTGGAGAGGCAGCAGAGAGTAGCGGTTCAGAGCACAGACTACAGAGCCAGGCTCCCTGGGTCCATATCCTGCCCCTGCCCTTACTAGCTATGTGACCTTGGGCAACTGACTTAACCTCCCTGTACCTTAGCTTCCTTATCTGCCAGAGGTAATAACTGCCTCTTACCTCCTAGGGTTTTTTTGAGGTTTAAACGAGTTAATGTCTCCAAAAAACTCTGAAAGCAAAGATATATGTGTGATACTGCGATTCTACAAAATTGTGCTCACGTGTGAGGTCACCCGAGTTGTATGACAGGCTGATACACAGCTGCCAAAATAACTTCATCCTTCACCCCCATCCTGACATGTGGTTCTCCCAGGGCTCATCCAAAACCTTCTCCTATTCTCTCTAGATGATTGCATCATCTAGTGTTTTTAAACTGCCATTTATGTCCCGCTGACCCCATATATCCCCAATCCCTTCCCCTCCCCTCGGTAGCTCCAGATGTCACCTTGGAAATTTGTGTTCCCTTAGATAGTACACAGCCACCTCCAGCTCACATCTCCCCTCACTCACCCCCCACACACCTAGGCCACAGTTATGGTCTTCCTCTCCCACAGGAGTGCTGCTGAAAGGCAGTTCTCTGCCTTCATCTTTGTACCTCTAGCATGTAGAACAGTACCTGATACATAACGTTCACTGCAGAAGGCAGAAATTCTGAAGCTTCTTTGTTTTAAACACAAGCTGATACGTTCTCCCTGGTTAACAAAAACCAATAGGTCTTCCTCCTAATAAATGTCCAGGAGCAAGATGGCTGAGTAGACAACCAAGGAAGGCACTCCTAAACTCACCCCAGCAGACCTGCTGTTGCACTGCTCTTCCCTCTTCCTGAAACTCTTTTCCTCCAGATATCCTTCAAGTCTTTGCTCAATGAGACCTACTTTGACCCCCAGTGATGGTTAATACTGAGTGTCAACTTGATTGGATTGAAGGATGCAAAGTATTGATCCTGGGTATATCTGTGAGGGTGTTGCCAAAGGAGATTAACATTTGAGTCAGTGGGCTGGGGAAGGTGGACCCACCCTTAATCTGGGTGGGCACCTTCTAACCAGCTGCCAGCAAATATAAAGCAGGCAGAAAAATGTGAAAAGGCTAGACTGGCTTAGCCTCCCAGCCTACATCTTCCTCCCATGCTGGATGCTTCCTGCCCTTGAACATCGGACTCCAAGTTCTTCTGCTTTGGGGCTTGGACTGGCTTCCTTGCTCTTCAGCTTGTGGATAGCCCATTGTGGGACCTTGTGATTGTGTGAGTTAATAATCCTTAATAAACTTTCTGGCTGGGTGCGGTGGCTCACGCCTGTAATCCCAGCACTTTGGGAGGCCGAGATGGGTGGATCACGAAGTCAGGAGATCGAGACCATCCTGGCTAACATGGTGAAACCCCATCTCTACTAAAAATACAAAAAATTAGACA